AGAATGAGTTTTTTTGAGAAAGTAAAAATGCACAAAGTTTCCTGTGAGGGGTAGGTTTAGGGGTTGGGTTGGTGTAGGGCAATAGCACATACAGTTTGTACAGTATAAAAACCATTACGCCTATGGAATGTCCCCATAAAACATGGAAACACAACATATGTGTGTGTGTGTGTGTGTGTGTATGTCTGTGTATTACGAAAGTCTATGGAAGCAGATTGTGAATGTATGCTTCGCAAAACTCTGCATCTAGTTATATATATATATATATATTAGGCAGCACAAAAATATTAGGCAGCACAAGCACAGTTGTGTTCAACATTGATAATAATAAGAAATGTTTATTCAGCATCAAATCAGCATATTAGAATGATTTCTGAAGGATCATGTGACACTGAAGACTGGAGTAATGATGCTGAAAATTCAGCTTTGCATCACAGGGCCCCAAAATTCTGAACAGATTTAAAAATTAATATTGTCATTTACTCACCCTCATGTCTTTTCAAACCGGTCTGAATCCATTTGAACTCAAAATTCTGATTTATTATAAAAAAAAACTTTGTTTTAGAATAAATATATCGATATACATACTGAATGTCGCCAAAAGGTTGGTACCAGAGAACCCCAAACTTTAACCCACCAACACACACCGTTTGCGTTCAGAAGAGCACAAACAGAGGCAGACGTTTGTTCCCAGCATCTTGTGAATTATTTAGCACTCTTCATATTGCCTGAAATGGAGCAGCACATGAATGTGACCAGCACATTTGGATATAATGAGCACATATGAACAGCCCAGAAAGCACTGCGAGCCTGCAAAGACCTTTTTTCAGGTTTTCTCTCATTTTTCTGATTAGATCACTTATAAATCAGTGTCAACAGTAGCTGTTCTCACACACACTCCCAGTGTCTACATGGACAGAGTCAGTGAGGAACGGTGTGTGAGCGAGTGTGTCCATTATTCTGTAATGCATGCTTTTCCATCGTGTCATTACTGCTAGGACTGCAGGATTATTTGCATAATGTGCGAGAGTACAGCGTAAAACCTGTGATCTTATAAACATGAGCTTTCTCTTCACCTGGTTGGTCTGAGGGCACGGAACCACAATGCACCTATTCTCTACCCACAGGAACATCTCTGAATCTCTTTCATAATTCAGCTCACTCTCGATGAATATGCGTGAAAGGACAGATATATAAGCGAACGACATTGAGTCAATGACTTTTACATGTGCATTAAGAATATTAAGAAAGCACTAATAAATCTGATGAGGATTAAATAATTTGATTTGTTTACTGTAAATTCATAATGATGGAATAGCACAAATGACTTGACAAGTATTCAAAAATGGATGTTGCATTTTCAGCTAATGTGAACAGGTACATTTCAGGTACCTACAGGTCCTGGTGAATAAGACATTCTAATTATTTGAACATCACATTAACCAGAAAGATTTGTGGCTGAATTTAGCCTATATGAGGTGAATATAACATAGCAAAGCCCGAGGCGGCAGACATCTGATATCCTCTGTCAATATGAGATGATCCACAGTATCTAACAGCTGACATCCACAGGGGTTACTCTAGAGGTCACACACGTGAGGGTCACAGGTCAGTCTTCATATGAGTAAGTCAATATTCTCTGCACTTAACTTGTACAATTTAATGGGTGAAACCTGTCAAGAACAGGTCATATTTCACCACTCCAAAAAAAGAAAGAAATACATATATTTTGAGTAAAGAAAATGAAGCCTGATTTAGGACCAATAATATTGTGTCATTATTTCCATGACAATTAAGCACAATTTAGTCTAAAATTAAAATGTAATGCCTCTGGAATGTTTTAAGTTTCTTTGTAATTCTCATTATTCCCAATGGTGCTTCTCATAAGATCCTCATCATTGTAACAGAGTCATCTGCAAAATTAAGGTTTAAAAAAAACCATAAAATGCAGTACAAAAAGGATAAAAGTCTAATGATAAAAATTGTTTAAAAATACTTGTATATAATATACTATAATACTTATTCACAGTAATTAGATACTGTGTTTGAGTAATGAGTTACTTTTTAAGGTAATGAAGGGTTAATTATGCTTAAATAACATTTTAAAGACTTTAAAAAAAAATAAGGCAGTTCTTCACAAAACAGTCAGATTTTAAAAGCTATAAAATGAAGGTGGGGTTATAGGAGAATTTGAGTTAAATTTAAGATGTGAGACACATGTGAGTTAATGCATTATCAAAAAAAAAATTTAAAAAAAAATAAAAAATGTAATCTGTAATTTTACCATAATATTGAGTTATGACATTGTGATTAAGAATTTTAAGAATTACAAGGAAGAAAAGAAAAGAAATAAACATATGCACAGATAATCTGTTCACAATAAGATCAATGACATGCATTTAAAAAAAATAGGCTTAATTTTTCATTTCATGCCAACTTTAATATTTAAATGTCTGACTTGCAAGATCTTTGCTAGTGAGACATTTCAATACATGTATTAAGGCTTGTGCACACCGGGACGATTATCGCTCGCGATTATCGCCGACGTTTAACGCCTCGTGACTAAACAAAAAGTAAGTAGACCAAGAAGATGCATCGAGGCAAAATGAATGTAGCGCTGCTGGTCTCATTGGTGTCTGAACACAAAGAGCTTTATGACAAACACCACAGCGACTACAAAAATCTCGATAAGAGGGAGTTATGGAGAGGAATTGCAGATCAAATAGGATTCGATGTGTACCGGGGTTTTTCTGTTTTTCATTAAGCGCCATCTAATGTCAGGGAGTGAATTTGCACGTTCACTCGGCTCATTGTCAACGAAAATCGCTTGGGTATGAACACAAAAGACACGACGAAAAACGTCAGCGATAAGCACGCGTGATAATCGTCCCGGTGTGCACGAGGCTTCACTGGAGTCTGTTTGCTCTCCTATTAATCTCCTTGGTTTTTAGGAGAAACAATGAGATATTAAAGAGATCTCGTTTGTGATTTTTATTTAACAACTACAAGAAGCTCCAATTAAACTGTCCAGAGATCAGCGGTTGCAGACGATTTTAATAAACACCCTCCA